AAATGCAAAGGATGTAGTGTGAGTGGTACTTGTAGCATCTTTACTATGTACAATCTTGCTCGCTAGTAAATATTATTCCTTTACCTTCACCATAGAATGGGGCCATGGTGGTTCTGACTGGGATATTTTCTTGTTTGTCCTCAATTTCTAATAATTGTGTAGAAATCGGGAGAAAGAGACACGTTTACTTAAACTAGATTTCTTGCTTGTAATGATTTATTCACTTGATCTTTTATTTTGCATTTAAGATAAAATGTTGATTCTATCATTACACAATTTGATACTTTAATATTCAACAACAAACTTTAAAAACTTAAGTTTTAAATTCAGGGTCTATATAATCACATGTGATTCAATTTTATTTAAATGGTTTGAGAACCAGTACATTGATTTTGTACATGTGATCATTGCTTAGAAACTTTAGATTTAGGAAATAGTTGCTTCATGTGGTTTTTAAGCCAACAAAAGGTGTTGGTTTTCCAGTTCAGAATCGCACACAGTAAGAGATAGAGCCAAGATTAAAAGCATGAGCTGGATCCCTCATTTTGCAGCTTGGTCAATATTACTGCCAGAAAATATCATAACTTATTTACCTTGATAATATTTTTCATATCATCAAATTTGTTTTGCTTTTTTTGTCTTTAGAAAATGAGAAAAATTAAAGGTAAATCAAGAAAGAAAATACTTTGAAGTTGAAAATAAATTGTATTTTGAACTTTCCTTTTGTTTTTGGAATTATCATCTGAACTAGTTGAGAACCATATTTTCTTATGGAATCCTTTCTCATTATGCTTTTGGAAGGACTGTGAAGGGATCATTCATGCATTCTTGATTCCATCCAGGATGGAAATAGACACCCACCTCTTACATAGAAATATTGACTAATCAGATTATCTCTGTTACAACATGATTGCAGGGCACCAAGAGAGAATTAGAAACTGCTACCGCTAGACTGTTTTCTTGAGCACTGAACCCCTTGAAGCCATTTATCTAAGGTCTAATAGCTGCCATCTTCATTTCTGAAATTTTACCTTGTCCTTTTTTTTTTCTGAGATGTTCGACATGGAAATAACCAAAATGTTTTAAGTGCTTAACTCTGTGTAACTATTCTAAATGCTTCATCTATTAACTCATTTATTTCCCTCTCATAATAACCCGGAGAGATGGGTTCTGTTCCCTTGAACGGATGAGGACACCGAAGTACAGAGAGGTTATGACACTTGCCCACAGTCATGCCGCTGATTGGTAGAAGCAGGAAGCTAACCTGGGTAATCTGCCACTAGAGCTCATCCTCTCACTCACTTGGCTATATTGACAAGGATCGCTCACAAAGCAGCTACTGTGTTCTTGTTTGGGGATGGGAATTACTACTGCATTCTCAGATGTTATGAGATCTCTGTGAAAGAACAAAGCAGCTTGCTTTTCTTAGTCAAGGAACAAGGCCACAAAAAGCAAAGAACAGTCTAGGACGGGGTGGGCAACCCCTGGCACGCGTGCCAAACATGGCACGCCAGTAACTTTTGCTGGCACGCAAAACCCTCTTTTATAATCTTCCATTTACATTTTTTTTTCTTAATATCGACTTTTTTATTTTTCAGATAAATTCAGTGTAGGTGCATCTTAGATAAATAAATAATTTTACATAACAAGTTATCTTAAAGACCATAGACATGGATTGACGAGAGAGGGGAAGAGCAATTTCTATGCCTCTGCCTTAACTCTCCCTGCCTTCCTAGATCCGACCAGTGTTTTGGTTTCATTCACATACACTTGTGAGTCTTTGTTCTCAGTGATGAATTTTGTTAAGTCTCGTAGTAGGAGTAGCCTGATGGATGAAAGTAGTAGCTCGTGCATATCTCTGAAGGTCACGAAATATAAACCTGGTGTAAAATCTCTGTCATCAGTGATGCAGCAGCAAAAGTCCCACTGATAATATCAAACGAGTCATAAAGTTTTCTGTCGGACTATCAGTGTACATGTATACATTAAAAAATAAATGTATTTTTCATCATCATATACTGTGTTTTTGTCGCTCGAATGAATTTTATTATTTCTTCAAGTTCTTCACATACGTACACCTTAAGAGATATCAAGTAGATGTAACATGTTCTCAAGAAATTAAGGTTGGCACGCAGAAGAATTTTGAGTCAGAGATTTTGCTGGTTTTGGCAAGCACTCACAAAAAGGTTGCCCACCCCTGGTCTAGGATGAAATGGGCAGTCATTGGGGTTTGTTAGTTAAGACTTCCCTAGGACAAAGCTTAAAGGGAAATTCAGAGGAGCCTGTGGGGAGGAGGAGAGAGAGAGAAGAATATCTGCTACGGGGTTCCTAAGCGTCCTGATCTACTCATGTAACTCCCACCCCCTTCTCAAGTCTGCTGTGTAGGAATTCTATCTGTGACTTCAAATCCAGTTTAGCATAAGGCCTTTATACTGTTATATAGAACTAGAGGCCCAATGCACGAAATTTGTGAAAGGCTCTCGGCCCTTGCAGCCCCAGCTTCGTCCAGAAGGTCGTCCGGAAGGTTGTCCGGCTGTCTGATCTAATTAGAATATTACGCTTTTATTATTATAGATGCTTTTCCCAAGTCTTGGGAGAGTACCCACATACAGCTTGGCTTAAAGTTATCCTACAAGTCTGCTTTCTTTCTTTGTCTTCTCATAACATCTGATACAGGTGTTATGACTTCTCTACCCTTAGCCAGAGGTGTGCACTGTCAGATAAATGCATGTGTTTGCACAGTGCCCTTCTCTCTGGAAGGCCAGTTAACATTTCCACTTTTATGGGCTGGATTTGAATGATAATAATGGAAGCCATTTATTGAGTTGCCTCATGAGCACCAGGCACATCCTCATTTAGTCTTTATAACAACCCCGTGGGCTAAGTATTAATTCTCTGTTGTCTAGATGAGAAAAATGGGTCTCAGGAAGGATGAGTGATTGTTCAAGGCTTCACAGCTAATTGGTGAAGTCTAGTTCTGATGAAGCCTTTGTTTTTCTCCTTGACTGATAATTCACTTAGGAGGCTCTCTCTTCATCTTTCTTCCTGAAAGTCGGAAGCAGAGCCATTCTTAGGTTAATAGACTTTTCTAATCTCTTAAATTGAAAGTACCTCTCAAGTAGAATGTGAGCTGGTCCCAAAATTTGACCCCTCTTGTGGAAAGAGGTGTTAATCTACAAGTAGCATCCTCTTTCCAGAGCATGATTTATTTTCTCAAACAAGATTTAAAAAACGAAAACAAAAAACCCAGTCTCTTGTGTGTGTGTTTATATTTGTTGTTGTTTTTTAAAAGCTTCTCTGAGACTCGAGGCCTCGGTCTTCAGAATTGTTCGTGGTGTGAGGGTGTTGGTGAGTTCTTGGATCACAGTGGCGCCGAAAGTGACCTTCATATTTGGAGCCCTGTTCGTGTGTGAGTGCTTACTTTGATAGGCACTTAGGCTCGGAGTTTCATGATTGGTGGATTACCATAGTAAGTCATGGGGCCATAATTCTTCTCTTAAAGAAAAAAGAAATTCTGACACTTGTTAAAAGGGTAAGAAAGACTTTATTCAGGACTGTTATAGATACCAAGTGTCACAATAGGGGAGAGACAACAGGTTCAACTTGAGCAGGTTGCGGGGGTGGGGGGGGGGGTGTTGTGGGTGGAAAATTACTAAGAGGAGGTATCAAGGTCAGGAGGATTCTTGGTGAAGGCAGGCCAAGAACTTATTCATCCAAGGTGGGAGATGAGGAATTTGATCAGATATCAGATATCCAGGCTGCGGGTTCTCTCTAAATTGACTTGGCAAGTTTCTTGTTAAAACAGGGCTAAGTAGGCCCAGCGAGGAAGGGGAGCCAAGTAGAGGCCTAGTCAGGAAGAGGGCTCAGAGGAGCCTGACTGAAGATTGGCAAAGAGAGAGTCTTTGTCAGGCCATAGTGATGAATTAAATGTGAGGGTTCAGGTATCGGACTTGAACCATTCAATGAAGTGTAGAGTGAATTTCTGAGAAATGTTTTCCTACTGGTGCAAACTTCAGAGGTGGGACCTTTAAGGCTTCTGTGATGCTGCACTGTCAGATTGATTTATTTTAAATTTTATTTAACAAACTTAAACAGTGCTTAAGTGCCAGGCTCTATTCTAAACCTTTTGCAAATATTAACTTAATCCTTAAAACAACTCTGTGGGGTGGCTGTACCGTTGCCATTCACTTTTTACAGATGAGAAACAGGCCCATAGGCGTTCCATAACTTGTCCAAGGTCATGTCAGTGGTGGGACTGGGATTTCAACCCAGGCAGCCTGGCTCCAGAGGCTGCGTTCCTGTTCAGTCTGTTAGGTTGCATCCCAGGCTTTTCCTCCGAGGGATTTACTTCTCATTATTCTGGACTTTTCTTTATTCTCTTCAGGAATAAAGAATAATTCCTCTTCTGGATATAGTCACACTCTGGTCTCTGTTCAGCTGGAAGTCAGATTTAAGAGTATGTTTAGTTGGAGGTCTCCTGTAAATCACAAGATTATTTATAAACAACCTTTCAGGTGACCTTTCACCTTAGAAGAAGATCAAAACCAGTAATTTATTGGTAAAAATATATTTCCTACCTGCTTCACAGTCTGTGTAGAATAACATCAATGATCCTTTCTAATCAAAGGTCGGCTGCCTTTTTTTTTTTCCCCTCACCAGCAACCTCAGTAGCATTATTTATTTATGTATGTATTTATTTAATAAATAAATGCCTTATTTATAGGGAATGAGTGGTAATTCTTTGATAAAGGCTTTGGGAAGTTGGCCTCCAGATAATACATGACTGACACCAAAACTTTCTTAAAGGGGCAGATCCCCTTTGAGCAGAGCAGATCCAGTTCCTAAAATATTTCTTTAGTAGTCTCTTTAAATTCTGCTTGCATTTGTCAAGCTGGTATTTTAAAAGGCTCTGGTTAATATAGTATTAACATCAAAGTTATGTGTGGGAATGAGTATTCCATGGTACCTTCAACTTACAACTTTTAAACTTTTAATTACAGATCTGTCTATGGCAGTACAGAAATTTTCCCAGTCACTGCAAGACTTCCAATTTGAATGTATTGGTGATGCTGAAACAGATGATGAAATTAGTATTGGTGAGTACTACTGTTCTTCAATATCCTAAGTAATAACTTTTCTAAATTTTTGTTTCATTTTATTGTTGACAGTATTATAGATGTCCCCCAATTCTCCCCTCCCCCCCACTGTGTCCCCCTCCTCCTAGCCCCTGCCCCACCCTAGGCCTTCACCACACTATTGTCTGTGTCCATTTTTTATGCATATATGTATATGTGTTCTTTGGTTAATCTCTTCCCTTATCTCCTTCCCCCTAACTTCCCCCCTTCAATTTCCTAAATAATAATTTTAAAAGTCCTACTTATGATTCTGATTTAATTGAAATCAAACAGATTCACACACTCAAATATTAAATATGTAAAATATTCTGACTTTGATAAAGGTAAAGGGCAATTTTGGGGAACCCTAATCAGTTAGTATACACCAGATATTCAAGGCCAATCTGAGCGTGGGAATCCTTATCAGGATGTTCGAGGCCAAGCTGCCATAGGCAGGTGCAAGGACGCAGCAGTTTCACTGGGTACACTGAGCAAGCATCCCCTTCTATAACCCCAAATTGATGTCACTATTTGGCAAGAAGCTTCTTTTGTCTAAGTTCGTATAAAGTGTGTTACTGACCAGCCGGTGAGAGGCTGCTGTTATGTGAGGCTGTTTTACTAGGAGGGCTGCTGTATTCGCAGTCCTTGCTTTACTGGACTGCTTTGTCTAATGGCTCCTTTTAGCAATGGCTACCTGGACTGCAATAAAGACTCTCTTATACACCTACAACTTCTTATGTCTTCCCCGTCCAATACCTAGTGTCCAAGGAGGTCCAGTTCCTGGCAGGGGAACTGAGGCCCAACAGTTGGCGTAGTGGAACAGGATTCAAGGAGTGAGTACTCCAACCATGGGCGCAGCGAACAGGGTCAAGGAGAAACTTACTCCCCAACAGTATTATACATTGTTTTATAACTGAGCTCTGTGGTTTCTTCCATAAGGAAATTACTTAATCATTCTATAATTCAGCTCTGCCCTTGGAGAAGATGTGGACAACAATGCTCGTCTCTGCCTCAAAGTCAGTCGTTCATTCAAACTAATACATATTGGGTGTCTCTTATTAAATATACAGGGTACTGGTTTAAAGATTTCTTTTTTAACTTAATACGGATTTCTCTTTTAGCATGAGTATTTGTTTATATAGGGGAAAGAATCAGTCATGATGTATTACACCAGTATTATTACAGGACACAGAACTTTACTGGGGATTAGGAGACTTGAGCCCTAATCCAGTTTTGCCACAGTAATTTAGCACTCCGACCCTGGGGAAGGCATGCCCCTTCCTGAATCACATGGTTTCATTTCTCACAAAGTGAATAGGTTCGGTTATGTGATCTCCGAATTTTTTTCTGTATCTGAGTTTACTGCTTGGAGATCAGATTTATGCAGCATTCTTTCTCCCACATTTTCACAATCCCTACTTGTCAGTTTGTAGACGTGGGGTCCATTTGTAGATTAGAGACATGGCCACATTGTCAGAAGACTGGATAAAATGTGTGTACACTTTATTTTTTTATTTTTTATGTTTTAATATATTTTATTGATTTTTTACAGAGAGGAAGGGAGAGGGACAGAGAGTTAGAAACATCAATGAGAGAGAACATCGATCAGCTGCCTCCTGCACACCCCCTACTGGGGATGTGCCCGCAACCAAGGTACATGCCCTTGACCGGAATCGAACCTGGGACCTTTCAGTCCACAGGCCGATGCTCTATCCACTGAGCCAAACCGGTTAGGGCTGTGTGTACACTTTAGAGAATAATACTAAGTGTACTCATCTTCCAGGTATAAAAATAGAATATTACAAGTATCTGGAACAGCAACTTCCAAGCTTTTATGTGTGTATAAAACACTGGGAGATCTTATTAAATGCAGGTTCTGATTCAGAAGGTCTCAGGTTGGGTGTGTGGTTCTGCATTTCCATCAGACTTGGAAGTGATGTCGACGCTGCCGGTGCCTGGACCACACGTTGAGTAGCAGAGATTTATGATCCCTGACATGCCTTTCCACAGTCACATTCCTCTCTTTCCTCTGCCATTTCTTCTGTAGTTTTCCCAGTTCCATGCATTTTAAAATAAAATGTTTTTATTATTTTTTTAAACCTAAGTAGCAAGTCCCAACCTAGCTATCCAAGGACAGGGCAATGTTATCTCCACAAAAGAAAGGCTTTCCGGAAAAGATCAGCTGATTGAGTGTCTGATTCATTGTGTGACGTTAGCTGCTTACATTCATGAGAGTTTCTCCCGGAGAAGTCACTGGGCAGAGTGCAGAGTCCGTAGACAAGCCCTCCCTGCATGTGGGACGGTCACGGTCACGTTGGCCGTCTTTCAGAGGAGCTGTGCCAGGCACTCACTTTCTTAGCTGAACGGTAGTTACCCTGAGGGGGTGTGGAGGTGGCTGGGCTCTTGGAATCTGATGGCTTCTTCTGCTCTCAGGTCTCTAAGGACAGGTGGCTGAGCCATGCCCGCACTTGGCTGAGGGGTACTCAGGAGTCTCTAGGAAGAAGGGAGAGGACCGAGAGGGAAAGAACATCAGTGATCATACTCCACCGAGATGTGGAACAATAGTTGTCATTTCATGCGCCACTTCTTGACACTTGTCATAAATGTCTATCCCCTAATGCAGGCGTTGTAACATACACTTCACCAGAAAAAAGCCCATTATATTACTAAAATATTAACATATTAGCATTAGTATGTAGAAAAAAAACAATACCCCTATACTCGCATAACTACAATTATTTTGACTTAGAAATGATACCTATAAATTCCAAGAAGGCAGAGAGTTCAGATCTCTTTTTTTATTTTTTTTTTAGAGAAAGAACAGAAAACATTTTAGCTTTAGCACCTGACCTAGGGCCTGACTCATAGTAGCCCCTCTGTTAAATTGTTTAATAAATGACAACTTTCCTTATAAAATTTAATTTTTTCACTTATGTGTATGCTTTTTAATAGCATTATATATATAATTTAGAAATTATATATATATAAATTTGTTTTTTCTTTTTAAAGAGGATTATAGTAATTACTTCTGTTTTTATAGATATAATTTTTAATAATTTCATAGCTTTAAAATATTCCATCAGATTCATATACCTGAATTTATGAAGTCTCTTGAGTACATTCACGCTGACTCTAGTTGGTCTTTTTCTTGTTATTAGCAGTATAGTAAACATTTTTTTTAAAATTTCCATTGTGCTTCTTACTTAAAACACCTTCTTGAAGGCACACTAGTGACTGCAGAGGTAGGTTTTCAGTCACTGCCATGTGACCTTCCTGGCCGATGTCAAGTGATTTCCTCAGGTTGTGGTGGATTTGATATCTCAACATTGGTCTGTTTGTCTCTTTCCACTTTGGCTAACGGGATGTTGTAGCTCTTGCAGGTTAGATTTGAAAGGTGTGAATTGATCAGTAGGTAGAGGCTTATTATATGCAATGAATATTACATTTAATTTTAATGCTTAGAGGGCTTTGAGGAGTTAGACCAAGGTGAATACTATATAGGAGTAGGTGTAATATTGTTTGCTACTTTTATATCAGGAAACTTTTTTAGCTCCTGTTGCAGAGAATCTGACTTAAACACCAATGTTTTGTTAGGAAAACCTAACTTAGAATAAAAATATTTATAAACTTAAATTATTTCTGAAACAACTCATGTAAAAATATAGATATGTTCCCATATGCTCTCCATCTAACACTTTTTATCCTTTAACTGAGCCCCAAGCGCAGCCTGAACAGTTAAAAGTAATGATGTATAGAATAAAGAAATAGTCGACTTTCAGTAATCATCCCTAACATGAGGGCTTATGTACCAAGGACAGGCATCCCGGAATGTATCGCTGGGACTAATTGGTAAGGCTGGTGTGGGTGAAGTGCAAGAACCGTCCTTACCCCCTTTGTTACGCTCAGTTCTACATGGGAAAGGACAGAGCGTCAGTTGTCTTTAAAATAGCCTGTTGAAGCCCTGGTTTCAGCTTCTTTATTCCTCTGATTTAATAAGAGAGGAATGAAGTAGGGACAGCTGTGACTCTTAGCTTTCTGTATTAGCCACAGCCCTCCCCGCCAGAGTAGTCTTGAGACCTAACCAAGGACATAACCACTAAATCTGATGACTTACCAGAAACGCTCATTTTTTATAATTGAGCAATGTCAGTAGCAAAATAACACATAAAATCAAGACGTGTGCAGACTTTCTGTAAGTTATGGTGGTGGGAATGGATGGGAGGGCATTAGGAAGGTGAGTAAGATGTCTGCTTTCCATGTGCTTACAGTGGAATAGGGTGGGAAACAGATTTTGAACAAAGTAAGTAAAAGAAGGTGCTGTTTCTATATCAGTATAATTACCTAATTAGTGAAGCTGTTGCAGGACATTTTTTTAGACTGGTAGGGCTGTGTCTGGCCTGTAAATTGGCCCCGCTCTTCAGCTGCCCCCTCCTGCTCCCACCTCTTTGGCCTGTGCTTGCTGGCTTTTTGGTTTGTTTGTTTTGGTATCAGTGAGACGATGTTGGCATGGAAGGAAGCAAAATGGGAATAGTGGTCTGGGACGCAGTGGGGAATTCCTGTGGCTCAGAGAGCAGGTTAGTTGTTTCCAGAATTAAAGTCCCAAGCAGGGCAGCATCACACACTCTCCTTTTAGCATCTTCCTTCCCATTCAAGAGCAGCCAGAGGTCATTGCTTCTCTTTTTTCTAAGGATGAATGAGCTGCAGGTGAGCTTTTGATGGCGCCCTTTTATCTGCCCACCGCAGAGCTGGCCTGGTGGGAAGCAGCCTATTGAGTCTATCCAACTTCACTTCCCACGGCTGCTCTGACGGCCCACTTTTTGTACTGCTTTAGTGTTTTGAACTGAGTAAAGACACTAAGTTAGGAGTAGGTTAGGAGTTGAGCAGCTGGACACTTGGGGCTTGGAAATTTGTGGTGGAGGGGAGGAGAGGGATTATAAAGTAGTAAAGATTCAGTCCTCCTCAAATAACATGGACAGACTAGA